CTCTGAGAAGCTGCACAGAGTCCTCTCCTTCTCCTTCTGCCTCTCCAAGAACCTTCTGCTCATCCCTGATGGATTCAGGCACTTTTCCCTTTAAACCCAACCACCTCCTGGCAGGTATTCCTTAAAAACCACCTCCCCTGCAGCTCTAATCTTTTAAACAAGCAGCAAACGAGGCCAGGGCTTTATTTTTTTTTTAACAAAGGGGTTTTTTATTGCACAAATAGAGGCTGAAATCCTTCTCTGTCCACGGAAAAAACGCAGATCCAGCTGAAGTGGATGTTTCTCTCCAGGGTTTTATTCCTCTGACACATCCTTCATCTCCAGGGAGGCTTCACCCTCCTGGGAAAGGAATCCAGCACGAGCTGCCAAGTGTCAGGAATTCTGCAGAGAGAGCAGTGAGAGCACCAGGAATAAATCTGCTGGGGGAGAATTCCCTCCCTCCCCTCTATCCCAGCACGGAAGGACACGGCTGAGGGACGGCAGAATTTGGGAATGACAAGGCCCCCTGGGTGTCCTCTGGGAAATCAGGGATGTTTTAATGCCATTCACCAGGGGGGATGTCACAGGCTGGACATCCCACAGGCTGATCCCTGTGGGATGAGCTGCTGCAGAAATCCCTTGGGATGTGGGCTCTCCCAACAGAATTCCCTGGGAAAACGCTGCACAAACAGCATGGAATCACAGAATCATGGGATGGGTTGGGTTGGGAGGCACCTTAAAGCTCATCCAGTGGCACCCCCTGCCCCTTCCATAGGCCAGGTTGCTCCAATCCTTATCCATCCCTGCAATTCCAGTGGGATTGGGATCACTCTGGTCACCTCGTGCCAAGCAACAGCTTTTGCTCCCTTGCAAGGGCAGCTCAATTTTCATCTGTTTTAGGGGTAAAATTCCACGTAATCATTTCAATTGCAATGCAAATTGTAATTGAAATTGTAAAATGTAAGAAGGATAAAATTCCTCTGACTCCACCTTCTCCTGTTTTCCCAGAAAACAGCAAAACTGATTCCCAAGAAAAGCTCCAAATCTGCCCAAATCCAAACCCTCCCTGGGAGCCAAACAGGAGACTGGAAAAACACCTTTGGTTGTGTTGGTTTTTCCCCTTTGCAAATGGTTCCCAGGGTTATTCCTCATTTCTAGGCACAATTCCCAACCCTCGTTGCAGGGAATAAAACAAGGAGAAGGTTGGAAATAAAAGCTCCTGAACATTTTGGAAGGTTGGAAATGTTTTCAGGTGTCAGGGAACGACCTGAGGAGGGGAAAGGAATTTTTTTTAGCTGAATAACACGACATCAAACTCCCACTGAGCTCACACGGGGCAGGAAGAGAATTATAAAAATTCCCTTTTTTTTTTGCATGACAGGGAGCAAAATGATATAAAAAAATCACAAACAAGTCAGGGAATAGAATCTGAGCACCAGGCAGGACTCATTTTAATAATGGATTTGATCCAAGACTGCTTAAACTTGGAACACAGGGCAGGAATTCTGCACTTGGGGAATGAAACCCCCAAATTTTAAGGAATGTGATGTTCATTTTGTTCTTTTTGTGCTGAGAGATGAGCAGTTTTCTCAGTGCATTATATATGGTGGATGTTATACCAAATAACCTGTTCCTTGGCATGGAATTTGGCCTTTCCAGTTGAACTCCCAGCCTGTCAAGGATTTAACCAATCCAGAATGGCTGATTATTTTCTCATTAATTATGTGACTCGAGGCCAAGAGCTCTGATTGCATTTCCTGCCCCATTCCACTCTCACTTGCTGCCCCAGGATTTCCTGGGCCTCAAAAGCCAGGGAGATAAGGAGCAGAGAAGGAATATTGTGCTAAGATACCCTCAAACCTGAGCCTGGCTGCCAAGTTTAATTGGAATTCCAGCTGAGATGGGCATGATTTGATGGTTCAAATGGCACAACACAACCCCAAAATAATGGGATTAACGTGTCAGTGCCACGAGGGAAGAGCAGGATGTGGAATAAATTCCATACCTGAGGGACTCTTCAATCCTCCTTCTTCTCTGCTTCTCTTTTCAGCTTCTCTTCCCGTTCCCTCTTCAGTTTTTCCTCAATTTTTTTGCTCTGGTACATTTTCACCCCAGCAAATGCCAAGCAAAGGATCAATGTTTTAGCTGCCAAAATGTACATCAGCAATGGGAAATTCTCCAGAGCCTGGAATGCCAAAGAATAGATGGAGGCACTTACTGGAACACTTGGATAATTCCAAATGAATTTACAGGGATGTTCTAAAGCTCCCCTCCAGCAACAGCATTTATCCAGGTGCTGAAAATGCTCCTCTGTCCAAGGGTTTTTATTCCTGCAGGGAACTTTAAAGCAGGCAGACCAACAATTAGGGGAAAAAACAAAGACAAATCCCCTTCACTCAAGTTGAACCTGAATGTAAAAAAATGGAGAAGCCCCCTGGGGCAGGTCTGGGTTGGTTTTGCAGCCAATGGAATATTCCCAGGACCTGGAGCTGGAAAAGGGCTTGGGCTGGATGAGCCCTGGGGGTCCCTCCCAGCTCAGGATATTCCATGATTCCATGATAACATTGTGAACTTGGAATACTCTCTGTACCCTCAGCCTTCCAGCACCTCATAAAGCTGCCTGGACATCATCAAACTACTGGATTTGGGAAAAGCCTTGGATCCATAGGCTCAGAAAAACAACAGCAGCCTCCTCAGATATTAAAAGTGGGAATCTGTCCAAGCCAACAGCTCTGCAACAGCAGGAAAGTAAAGCCAGGGCTGGGGGTTGGCACTGCTGTCCTGATAAATGGTTTGATCAACATGTTAAAATTGTTAATCATGGAATCATGGAATGGTTTGGGTTGGAAGGGACCTTAAAGACCATCTTGTTCCAACCCCAACACCTTCCAATATCCCAGGTTGCTCCAACCTGGCCTGGGACACTTCCAGGGATCCAGGGGCAGCCACAGCTTCTCTGGGAATTCTATCCCAGCCCCTCACCACAGTCACAGGGAAGAATTCCCAATATCCCATCTCTCCCTCCCCTCTGGCAGTTGGAAGCCATTCCCCTTGACCTGTCCCTCCAGCCCTTGGAAATAGTCTCTCTCCATCTTTCCTGGGGCTCCTTCAGGCCCTGCAAGGCCACAATCAGGTCACCCCAAAGCTTCTCCTCTCCAGGCTGAACAATCCCAGCTCTCCCAGCCTTTCCTCCCAGCAGAGCTGCTCCAGCCCTGGGATCATCCAGGTGGCCTCCAAGAGGTCACTGCACGAGGACCCTCAACCATTGCTGGGCCTCACACACGACCCTGCAGAGTCTTTGTGGCCCCAAAACCCCAAAACACACAGTGGGGAAAACCCCCTGCAGGGACAGAAGGAGCTGAGGGAAAAGCCTGGGAAGAGGGAAGGCAGGAGGACAGAGCAGTGCCCGGGGCTGAAGTGTCCCAACAGCAAATCCTGGGGCCACAGAGACCACCCGGAGCAAGGAAGGACAACGACAAACCCCCGGGAGTGTGGGGGGAAAACAACCCCTGCCCTGGGCAAGGAGACCCCCTTCCAACACAGAACCCACCCACTGCTGGGAACAGCAGCAATTCCCTGCTT